GGGAGGGATTGGAGGGTCTGGAGAGAGTTATAGATGCTTTTGGAATGGCAACAGGTGTGGCAGTGAATGTGCATAAATCAAAGCTTATGAGATTGGGTGAATGGGATTGGTGGGAGGGCGGGGTTGAGGGGGTGAGGTGGTGTGTCTTAGACTGGGTGAAAATTTGTGGAGTTGTGTATATGGGTAATGCTCAGATGGCGAGGGAGGTTAATTCAAAGGGTGTGATAGATAGGGTATTGGGAAGACTGACAGGATTGTGGCCGACACATCTTATGCTACACCAGAGGGTCATTGTGGTCAATGTGCTTTTGTAAAGCAAAATATGGCATGTGGCAGCTTTGTACCCTTTGGTGTATAGGGATGGCTGGAGATTGTTGAGCAGAGTTTTCCGTTTTATCTGGGGTTCGGGATGTGATTGGTTGAGAAGGGAGGTGGTAACACTTCCAGTGGCCTTGGGAGGGCTGGGGTTAATTCACTTGGAAAGAAGGTTGAAGTGTGTATATGTGAAACATGCTTTTCTAAGGGTTTGGGGGGTGGGGAGTGGAGGGTTGGGGATGCTGCAGGGAGATATTCGGAGAAGGTGGAAGGGACAGGATTTGAGAGATGGTGAGGAGTTGTTGCGTCTATTAATGATGGTCAGAGATCCGAGCAACATGCGGGTAGGGTCCATGGAGAGGAAGTTATGGCCTAGGGTGGCAGTGGCAATGGAAGGAGTGTACCCGATGTATGCATGGGAAGAAATTTGGGGTCTATCAAAAGGGTTACGCATCCGACCGTGCGTGAGGGAGGTAATGTATAGGTTTCTTCATGGAATATTGCTGTCTGGGGTTGTATTACGAAATAGGTGAATAAGGGAGGGTGGGGAGTGTTAGGTTTGTGGGGTAGATGAATCAGCTTTTCATGTAGTTTATTTCTGCGAAAACCTAGGGGTTGTGCGGGAATGGTTAGGGAAAGTAATCCGGTATGTGGGGGGGGAAAGAGTTGTCAGTTTTGAGAGTGCTCAGTTTAGATGAAGGTGGGGTAGGGGTAAGGGTTCAAAGGGCAGTGGCTTACTTAGTGCTTTATTTCATGTTTATATCATTGGCAATGAGAGACAAAGGGGCGGAGGAACGTAGGATGCACATAGCAGCATCCTTTTATAGAACAAAGTGTCGCAACACGGAAATATATGGGAGCAGGTGGGAGAGGGATTTTTTGGAGAGCTATAGGGACTTTCTTTTGAGGGATTAATGGACTTTATAAGCAGTCAGGGGCATGAAACGGGCTGGCCTTCCCAGGGGGGGAGGG